AATAGTCTGAAGTCTTACGAGAAGCATTTCCCAGAGCCACCAATGGCCTCTGGGGGAGAGGGACTTAGTTTAGACTCAGTGCCTGGGAAGGAGGGGTGCGCTGGCAAAGTCCACTGCCTTTGTCCTGCTGGTCAAAACTGCTGGTGGGTCTGGCCTTTTCAACTGGGGCCTTAGAGAAAAGGTCTGGAGACACCTCCCATTTCAGGCAGGAACAAGCTTTTTCAGGAAAGTGTCTTCTGCACAGAGCTGCCAAAACCAGGGTGGGCCCTGCGTCTCTGCCAAGAAGAGAAGAGAAGTTTTTGTGATCCCCACAAGTTAGACATCTTCTCTGGACTTTGTTTCTGCTGTGGGCTACAAAAGAGCCAACAGTTATCCCTAGAGTTGGGGTGTGAGTTCCTGTCCTATTCTGATGGATGCACAGGGTCTAGTATTGTGGATTTAATTTGCATTTTTCCTGATGACATTGGCGTGGATATTCTCTTTTGTGAAAAGTCTGTTTAAATCTTTTGTCTATTTTTTTATTGAGTTGTCTTTTTCTTTTTAATTTGCTGCTGCTGTTGTTAGTTGCCATGGAGTCCATTCTAACTCACGGCGAGCCCATGTGTGCAGAGTAGAACTGCTCTCTGCGTGGTTGTTAAGGCCTTTCGGAAGCACATCACCGGGCCTGTCTTCTGAGGGACCTCTGGGTGGATTCGAACCACCAACCTGTAGGCCAGGAGTCAACTGATTAACTCTCTATGCCAAATTTGTAGGAGTTCTTTATATACTCTGGAAAGGTGTTCATTTTCAGATATATGATCATACGATATATAAAACGGCCTTTCCTACTTTTCACTTTTTTAATGAACTTTTGGTAATTTTAATGTCCAATTTACCTTACCAAACATTTAAATCGTTGCCAATCTGATAAATGCAATATGGTATATATTGTGGTTTTTATTTGCTCTTTCCTACGGTGGTGGTGGTAGGTGCCGTTGAGTCAATTCTGACTCCTGGTGGCCCTGTGTACAACAGAATGAAACACTGCCTGGTCCTGCGCCATCCACACAATCCTTGCTAGGTTGAGCCCATGGTTGCAGTCATTGTGTCAATCAGTCCAACTTGTTGAGGGTCTTCCCCTTTTTGTTGAATATCTTTTATATGATTCAGAGCCTCTGTATTTCCTTTTCCGTGAATTGTCCTTCACTTACTTTTTCTATAAGTTGCTGATCTTTTTCCTATGGATTCGAATAAGCTCTTTATAAGAAAATTAGTCCTTTACCTGTGATATGAGTGGTAAAACATGTCCCCTTGGTTTGTTGTGAATCTGTATTTTTTTATTCTTTATTATTTTTGCCACTCAGGAATTTTTGATTTATATGCAGTAAAATACAACAATATTTTCTTATATAGCTTTGAAAGACCTTTTTGACTCAACCTAATAAGAATATTTTCCTGTGTAGTTTTTTTTATGGCATTATTGTTGTTATTTTACATTTTGCTCCTTAATTGATCTGGAATTTATCCTGGTATAAGGTGTGAGCTATGGCTCCAACCTGATTTTGTTCCAGATACCTATCAAGTTGTCTTAACACTTTTATTGAATAAGCCATTTTCTCCTCATGGTTTGAAAAGTTGCCTTTTGCATATATATTTTTGTATATACTTGAGTCTATTATGGACATTTTATTTTGTTCCATTGAAATGTCCACCTCTTCTTATGTTAGGTTTATATTATATCTTAATATCTTATAGGGCTTGTCGTTTCTCATTGTTGTTCTTTGTTCAAATTTTTCTGGCTGTTCTTTTCTCTTCCTCCTCTTCTTCCCCCACATGAATTGCAGAAGAGCTTGTGTACTGAAAAAATTCTGCTAGCATTTTATTAGTATTACATTAAACACATTTTAGGGAGAATTGACTATCTTTTTATTCACGTGTATGTTGTATCTTTCTAACTATTCTTGTCCTCTTTTGTCTCCTCAGCAGAAATTTAAAGATACCTTCATGTAAACCAAACCAAACTCATGTTTGCATTTGAATATTGAATATTTCTTTTTAAGTTTAGTCCTAGTTATTTTATCTTTTTGTGGTTATTATTAAAAAGGGAGCTATTCTTTATTTGTATCTTTTTTTTGTTTCTTATTTTCTTTCTTAAAAAGCTTTATTTTGCATAATTCATATATTATGCAATTCTCCCATTTAAAGTGTACAATTCAATGTTTTTTAGTATATTCAGAGTTATACAACCATCACCACAATCAATTTTAGAACATTTTCATCATCCCCAAAAGAAACCCATTAGCAATCACTATCCATTCCTTCCTCCACCCCTCACCCACCCAGCCCCTGGCAACCACTAATCTACTTTCTGTCTTATAGATTTGCCTGTTCTGAATATTTCAGATAAATGTGTATCATATAATATATGACCTTTTGTGACATATGTCTTTGTGAATGTTTCTTTCCCTTAGCATAATTTTTTTTCAAGCTTCATTCATGTTTTAGCTCAGTACTTCATTTCTGTTTATTACCAAATAATATTACATTGTATGGATATAAACCAAAACTAAAACCCTCTGCCATGGACTCGAATTCCAACTCACAGAGACCCTACAGGACAAAGTAGAATTGCCCCATAGGGTTTGTTGTTGTTGTTGTTGTTATGTGTCACTGAGTTGGACCGGACTCGGTTTCTGGACTCGGTTTCCGAGGCAGTATCACTACGGAAGTAGATAGCCTAACCTTCCTTCCAAGGAGTGGCTGGTGCATTTGAAAGCCAGCCTTCTGGTTAGCAGTCAAGTGCCTTAAACTCTACGCTACAAGGCTGTAAATATTTACAGAAGCAGATTATCACATCATTCTTCTGAAGAGCAGCTGGTGGGTTCAAACTGCTAACCTTTTGCTTAGCAATGAATACTTAACAGCTGTGCCACCAGGACTCCTTTTGTATGGAAATACCACAGTTCATCTTTTTCTGCATTTACATCTTCTGACTGCTGGCTTAAGCGGTCTGTTTGCAGACTGTTTGCATATTTTACCATTTTTTTTTATTTCTATGTGTTTGTTTTGCACTTCGCTATCTTATGACATTCTCTCACTGTTTGTAATAACTTTTTATTTTCTTGCTTAATAGTTTTAACAGATGCCTTCAGAATAATGTTCAATGTATGGAGAACAAATTCCTTTTCTTGTTAGAAGTAGAGCATACTTCTAACGACTC